AGGCAGCCTATTGGAGTTGCTGCATACCTAATCCCTTGTCTAGACTGTGAAATGTAGTGGGAACGTTGATTTTTTTTACTGTGTTTTTATTGTTGACACTATTACAGATGTTCCCCATTTTCTCCCTTTTTTCCCCCCTCCCCCCAGCCCCCCCCTCCCCCCTGGCCATCACCACACTGTTGTCTGTGTTTTGCTACTATCTTCTTATTTTTTAAATTTAATTTTGTGTTCACTGTGGGAGAGGATAAATGATTACTGTTTTAAGCTCTTAAATTAGGGGTAATTTGTTACACAACCAGCATCACATTTTTAAAAATGACATGAACAGGTTGACTAGATCCCAGGTTCCTGTCCTAAACACCTGAAGTGATTATTTTTTATTGTTGACTGTATTACAAATGTCCCCCATTCCTCCCCTTTGCCCTCTTCCACCCGGCCCCTGTCCCCCCTCCCCTGGCCTTCACCACACTATTGTCTGTGTCCATGGGCTATGCATATATGTTCTGTGGCTAATCCCTTCACTCTTTCTTTCCTCCAATCTCCTCCATGCCCCTCCCCTCTGAGGCCTGTCGGTTTTTCCCCTGTATCCATGCCTCTGGTTCTCTTTTGTTTGTCAGTTTGGCAGTTTATTTTGTTCATTAGATTCCACATATGAGTGAGAGCATGTGATACTTGTCTTTCTCTGACTGGCTTATTTTGCCTAGTATAATACTCTCCAGTTCCCCCCATGCTGTCTGAGAGGGTAAGGGAGACATCTTTTTTGCAGCCACATAGTATTCCATGGTTAAATGTACTACATCTTTTTTAGCCATTTGTCTACTGATGGGCACTTGGGCTATTTCCAGATCTTGGCTACTATAAATGACTCTGCTATGAACATAGGGGTGCATACATTCTTTCTGATTGGTGTTTCAGGATTCTAAGGATGTATTCCCAGAAGTGGGATCACTGGGTCATTTGCTTGGGAAATTCTATTGTATAGACCAGTGTTTTGTGAATTAAGGGTGGGGGTGGGCATATGTATCAGAATCACCTGTCACAATATCTTGTCTTTGCAGGATCTCTTATTCAAGGCGGATCAAAGACAGAAATGTGGTATTCCCTAGGTCCATGACCAATACCCATTTAAGCAATATTATAAATATTATATATTATCTCATTAATTCCTTACATAAATTACAAGAAGTGTTCGGTTCTCAATCTTTCCCACATGTTCTTTTGTATGCAGGACTGAAGAGTATTTTTATGTGGAAAAAAAAAAAGAGCCACAAGATGCAAGCAATTTTTTTTCTGAATGTTCATCCATTATATTAAAAACAGAAAACAAAACTTTACCCAATAAATTTTATGATTATTTAGTATGCATTTAAGTTTCCATATTATTCAACTTAAGGTAACTGGAGGCATATAGCATAGAGGATAAAAAATGGCAAGTAAAATTTAGCTTTTCTTAGATCTGCAAATAGTAATCAGTTTCTCAAATGATAAGGGCAGCCACTAAGCAAAGGACAATATTTACTTTTGCATAAAGTGGAAGCAACTATTTTCTTATGTCAAAAAATTTAGCCATATTTCACACACAGTTATTATGCATATGTTAATATTGACTTATTTTTTTTAATTAAATCTTTATGGTTCAGATTATTACAGTTGCTCCTTTTTTCCCCCCCAATAGCTCCCCTCCACCTGGTTCCCACCCCACCCTCTGCCCTTACCGCCCCCACTGTCCTCATCCATAGGTGTACAATTTTTGTCCATTCACTTCCCGCACCCCTCACGCCACTCCCTTTCTATGCCCCTGATTCTATTATATTCACCAGTTTATTCTGTTCATCAGATTTTTTATTCACTTGATTTTTAGATTCACTTGTTGATAGATATGTATTTGTTGTTCATAATTTTTATTTTTACTTTTTTCTTCTTCTTCCTCTTCTTAAAGGACACCTTTCAGCGTTTCATATAATACTGATTTGGTGATGATGAACTCCTTTAGCTTTTTCTTATCTGTGAAGCTCTTTACCTGACCTTCAATTCTGAATGATAGCTTTGCTGGGTAAAGTAATCTTGGTTGTAGGTTCTCGCTATTCATCACTTTGAATATTTCTTGCCACTCCCTTCTGGCCTGCATAGTTTCTATTGAGAAATCAGCTGACAATCTTATGGGTACTTCCTTGTAGGTAACTGACTGTTTTTCTCTTGCTGCTTTTAAGATTCTCTCTTTGTCTTTTGCCCTTGGCATTTTAATTATGATGTGTCTTGGTGTGGTCCTCTTTGGATTCCTTTTGTTTGGGGTTCTCTGTGCTTCCTGGACTTGTAAGTCTATTTCTTTCACCATGTAGGGGAAGTTTTCTGTCACTATTTCTTCAAATAGGTTTTCAACATCTTGCTCTCTCTCTTCTTTGGGCACCCCCATAATTCGGATGTTGGTACGTTTGAAGTTGTCCCAGAGGCTCCTTACAATATCTTCATTCTTTTTGTTTTTCTGGTTGGGTGTTTTTTGCTTCTTCATATTTCAAATCTTTGACTTGATTCTTGCAATCCTCTAGTCTGCTGTTGGATCTCTGTATATTATTCTTTATTTCAGTCAGTGTATGCTTAATTTCTAGTTGGACCTTTTTCATATCCTCAAGGGTCTCACTAGATTTATTGAGGATCTCCCTAAATTTATTGGCAGTTTCTAGAAAATTCTTGAAAAACCTTATAACCGTAGTTTTGAACTCTTTATACAGTAGTTTGTTTTCCTCCATTTCTGTCATTTGTGACCTGTTTCTTTGTCTCTGCATTTTGGCTGCTTCCTTGTGTTCATAGAGTGGCTTTCTGTGCCAAGTGTCCTATAGGGCCCAGTGGCTCAGCCTCCCCAATTACCTGAGGTGGACAGTCTTGGTGCACCCCTTTGTGGGCTTTGTGCAAAGTCTTGTTGTAGTTAAGCCTTAATTCTTGTAGGTATCACTGGGAGGACGTGACCTCCAGGCCAATTAGCTGTGAGAATCAGCTGTGTCTATGGTGGGAGAACTTCTGTGTTAGAGACACCCTTATGGGGCAAGACTTGCTTTAATGGGGCTTTGGTGCTCACTGAGTCTGCCCCCTGAGTGTGTCCCTTATGGATCTGAGGAGTTGTAATCTGGATGGTCCCACTCTGACCACTGGGTACACTGGCTCTTGGATCTCTAAGGAGGTGCTAATTTAGCCTCTGCCTGAGGTTACCCAGCAGGAGTTATGGAGAGATCTGCAGATTCCTCTTCTTTGTTTGGGGTTTGGAGGTGCCCAGATGAGGCCCAGCTGTGAAGCAATGCATGCTGCTGTGGGGCTTTGGGCCTTCTTTTGGATGTTCTGGGTCTTTCTGACCCAGCTGCAGTTTGTTAGGTAATTTTAGATTGCAAAAGGCCAGGCCATTCATATGCAAAAGCTCTGCACACAGCTTGGGTGGGGCGGGGTCTCACGGAATCAACAGGGTGGAGCAAACAGCTATGGCTGATCCTCAGCCCTGCCCTAAGAGGCCCCAGGTCTCAGAGTCTCGCGGTAGTCGCTGCAAACACCTCTGAGAGAAAGCCGCCCTAGAGTTCTGCCCGATGCCAAACAGAGCAGTTTCTCCCATTATGAGTCTGGGTCCCCAGAGACTTGCCTGTAACTGGAGTTCATAGCAGTCAGGAGCTTTTGTCTCCCTCCTGATTGAAAAAGACAACCTTGTCCTTAATTGCCAGCCCTTTCCGTGTGCACCTCCATACCTCTGCACTTTACATCTGCACCTCCTCTGAGTCTCAGTGTGCTTTTCTCTTTCCTTCTAGTTGTAGAATTTCCACTCAGCCAGCCTTCCTGTGGTTCTGGGTGATGTCCGTTTTGTCTTTTAGTTGTATTTTTGAAGTGGTTGTGCAAGGCAGCAATTTCAGCTATTTACCTATGCCACAATCTTGGTTTCCTCTAATATTGACTTATTTTTATTGAGAGAGGGTTTGGCATTTCTCTTTACATAGCCCTATATCTGAAGCAGTGATTCTTAAGGGTACACCAACTGAGAAATTATAAAGTTATCTCAGGAGATTACACTGTCAAAAGTCTGACATTCCACTTAAGGAGTCCTCTCTCACTCCCCCCAAAAAACTGTTTTAAGTTAACCTAGTTGCCCTTCATCCTTCCAACTCATTTTGTTATGCAAAGTTATCTGTTCACAAGGTATCCAGGAAATGAGACACATATGCAAACGAACAAACAAACAAACGAACAAACAAACAAAATGCACCTGATTCCCCCCCCCACACACACACACACACGAATACTAGTATAAGGTAGAAAGTGATAAGTTTCCCAAAATAAATATGGAGTGTCAGAGACATTCATAGGTGGGAGAGATGAAATTACGTTGGAGCAGAGTGTCAGGCAAGCTTCATTAATCTTTAGACCTCTCAGCTCCTTTCCCAAGCACTAAAGCAGTTATTGATGTTTTGGGATAAGTTAGACACTGCCTTTTGGCAGTACTGCTATTTTTTAAAAAATGTATTATTAAGCCTTCTCAGTGTGTGATTTTTGGTTTCTTAAATGTGAACTTGTTACATTTTGGAGCCATAAATTTCTCTGTTGGAGTGCCTTACCCATTAGACAGTGGAAATTATTTTGGGAAAAGAGGTTATTCTGTTTTACTCAGTTCAGGCACGTGTTTTCTGAGTCTTTTCCATGCACATATATCTGCTACCCAATATGTATAGTGGAGATAGTTTAGGGCTTTGGGGGAAAGTTAGCGAGAACCACTATTCCTCAGCAGGCATTCGGGCAGCAGATGCAGAAGTGAGACAGTTATGTGGACACTCCTGTACACACGGGCGCGCGCGCACACACACACACACACACACACACACACACACACACACACGTACACACACACAGCTGACTTGGCAGCTGTGAGCATGGGGGTGGGGGGACTTATTGCCTGTTAAGCCAAATCAAGCGCCTGCATGTCTCAGGCTGGATTGAAGCCTCCAGCGTGTTTGGAGTTAATTCCCATTAGGTTGGACTCCGCCCCTCTCTCCCAAAGGTAAAGCAGGGTTTTCAGGCAACCCTGCAAAGAGCAGCTGGGATTCCCATCCCCTTCTGACAAGCTGTAAGGAGAAGTTGTTTCTCAGATCTGAGTTTGAAGAGAGGAAACAAGTCAATCAGCCTTTGTGGCCAGAAGGTAAATTTGCAGCTTGGGCCAAATGCAATTGAAACAGCTGGATAAAAACTGCTTTGCTCTCCCCTTGCTCAGCCTCCTCCTCCCCTTCCTTTCCCAGGCTTCCCGTCCTTTCATCTCACAGCTCAGAGAAGCTGTTTCTTCCCAAAGGCAGCCTGGTACATTTTTGCTTCCACGTAGTTTGTTGTTTGCACAGAGGCTAAACGGAATCAGGGCTGGGTTCCTATTTCATACTGACGTGGTTTGAGGACCTAAGGGTTAAATGCTAGTTGGTTTCCCCAGAAGAATTGGTAACTTGAGGAGAGGAAGTGCATGTCTCTGGGAGTGGACAGAGGGATTTTGTTCTGACTTGTCTGTGGAAGTAAAAGCGGATCTGGTTTGCTGATGTGCTGGGGTTGATCTCTTAGACTTGCCTAAACTGGGGCTATGAGACTGAAATGGGGTAATGGCGTTAAACTGAAATGCAGATGTTGAAATCAGTTGAGGCTAGAAATAAAAGAATGCATTCACTCAGTAAATATTTGTGAGTTCTTAACTATGTGCCAAGCATGATGACTTCCAGAAAACCTGAGATAGTTTAACTATAAATCCGTTCTTGAAAGAACACTGGGCCAAGTGTTTCCATTTTGTGGTGAAAAACTGAAAGCAGAACGAAGACTAGGAGTGAGGAGAAATTACTTAGAGTGTTTGGGGAAACAGAGGGGGAGGGGAGTGATGTTCTACTTCTTAGATGACCTCAAGTCTTCTCTGATACTTATGGGAAATGGAGTATTCTCTGGTAGGGGGAGAATTGACAGCTATCCTAGTGTTAGGTTGACCACAGATATTACTTCACTCTAACTTTACATTCTATTATCTCATTTTATAGAGGAAATTGAACCTCAGAGGTTTTAAGTGATCCTCTCAAGTTCATAGAACCTATAAGGGACAGACCTCAAGACTCTACCAGATCTGATTCCAAACTCTTGGCTCTTTTCCACTAAAACAGTATTTCTCAATCATTAGTTCCCATCAGAATCGATTGAGGATTAAAAAAATGCAAATCCCATAAGTTCTAATTTAGTGAATATGAGAAGGAATGTAATACTCTGCATTTTGAATAAGCATTCAAAGTGATTCTGGTGCAGAGGGTCTAGAGCCCCATTCTGAGAAACAGTCAATATGCCATGCTGCCTCTCATGTCTGCTGAAGTGGTCAGAGAAGCATTTAGCTCACCTTCTTCCTACACTGTCCAGGTTCACTGAATGGAGGTGGTTAACTGTGATGGCATTTTATTCCCAGTTGAGGCCATGGTTAGAGGGACTACTGGGCCAACAATAGCAGAGCTGGGGCTAGAGCTTAAACAAGTGAGTAGATGGTTTACCAGTTAGCTCATTGCTGATAGTGCTTAACAATGTCTTGCCAAAGTAGGCCTGCAGGAATAGTTTCTAACTTGTATAGGGTATGACACCCCTAGCCAATCAATTAAGCACTGAAGATAGTGGTACCTGTCAATCCAGAGTAATAACTACGAAGATCTCCAATTGACACCCTACTTTCCAAAGCAGAAGCTCAATGAACAGCATTTTTTTTTCATGGAAGGGAGAAGGTCATATGAAATTTAGAGACATCATTCTAATCCCTACTTTTCTAACCTCAGACTCTAGAGCAAGAGAATAGCTCAGGGCCTGATATGGAGGATCTTATTTAAAAAAAATATTTTTGTTGTGTTTAGAGAGGAAGGGAGAGGGAGAGAGAGATAGAAACATCAGTGATGAGAGAGAATCATTGATTGGCTACCTCCTGCACACCCACCACTGGGGAGCCAGCCAGAAACCCAGGCATGTGCCCTGACCAGGAATCAAACCATAACCTCCTGGTTCATAGGTTGACGCTCAACCACTGAGCCATGCTGGCCAAGCTGAAGGTTTTTTTTTTTTTCTGTGTTTTTTTAAAGTAAAATTGTCAAATGCTTTCATTAAATTTTGTGTGTGTTTTTCTTTATTTATTAAGGTATTATATATGTGTCTTTATCCCCTCATTACCCCCCACCCCCCACTCTGCCCTCACCCCCCTGTTGTCTGTGTCCATTGGTTAGACTTATATGCATGCATACAAGTCCTTTAGTTGAACTCTCCCTCTTACCCCCACCCTCCCCTACCTTCCCTTTAAGGTTTGATGGTCTGATTGATGCTTCTCTGGATCTGGATCTGTTTTTGTTCATCAGTTTATGTTGTTTATTGTATTCCATAAATGAGTGAGATCATGTCATATTTATCTTTCTCTGACTGGCTTATTTCACTTAGCATAATGCTCTCCAGTTCTATCCATGCTGTTGCAAATGGTAAGAATTGCTTCTTTTTTCTGAAGCGTAGTATTCCATTGTTGTTATGGACTCTTCATCTCTGCATGGCCAACTTGATTGTTTGCAATTGACCTTCTAGGTTGTCAATGACTCGATGGTCCTCTCTCTCTATTTACTCTCTCACTTCTTGTCTTCTAATGCCTTAACTGCTTGTGATCATCCCCACCTCAGGATGAAAATATGAAAATAAATAAATAAACAAGTCCAACACAGTTAGTTTTGCTAGTCTTTATACCCTAGGAAAAAATGAAAAAGAAGGAGAAAGCTTAGAAAGAGGATAGCAAGTATGAAAGCTGAGGAATTTGAAAGATAAGGCTTAAATTAAAAGTGAGGTCTTCTTAAGCAGAGAATAGTAGAATAGTGGTTTCCAGGGGTTTGGTGGAGGGGAAAATGAGGAATTGTTGCTCAATGGGTGCAAAGTTTTAGTTAGGCCATTGAATAAATTTTAGAGATCTTCTGTTCAACTTTGTGTCTATAGTTAATAATACAGTGTTGTGTACTTTAAAATAATTTAAGAGGATAGATCTTATGTTAAGTGCTCTTAATACACACACACACACACACACACACACAGGACTTTTTGAAAGTTATGAATATGTTTAGAGCCTTAATTGTGTTCATGGTTTTATAGATATAGGCATATGTCTAAACTCATTGAGATGTATATTTTAAATATGTACATATTTTTCATATAGCAATTATACCCCAAAAAAGCTTGAAAAAAGTGAAGTGTTCTTCAAGTTGTGGATATACAAATTGGAAATAAAGCCTTTGGTGTAGCTACATCATGATATGATTTCAGGCATAGCAGAACCTGAGGCAACTCTCTTTGTGAAGATACACAGAGAAGGAGAAACTTCCAAGGGACTCTGGTGGCAGTAAGTGAAGGGAGAAATTATTGGGAAGTAGAAATAGATCCCGTTTGAGGTTGTGTCTGAAACAGGCTACTTATATACCCAACTTGACACAAGGAGGCACATTGGGCAAAGACATTTTTCTGGAACAGGACTCTATTTGTGCACTGGAAACGTATGCCTGTTTATCTTGCTCATTTCCTAGGGAAGTCTCAACACTGAGTATTTGTAACAGGGTTGGCACGTAGGCAATGCATACTATCTGGGGGCGTGAGTAGAAAGGCCTGTTCATATTTCTTTGCCAAAATCAGTGACAACAAAGCAGCTCCTTGCAGACCAGTCTGAACCAGCAGTCTTACAGCCATGTTTTCCTCAGCAGCTGCATATCAGAGACTCCCTTTCTGACCACTTCATGTTCTGGTCATTAATTTGCTGGCTGTTTTGCCTGGGCCCTTGGTAAGGTATTGCTTTCTTTAACTCAGAAGTTGTATGGCAAGCTCAAGTGGGAACAAAAGGATTTTTAGTCTTCTGTGGGGACTGGGGAGGAGGCTAGGTAGAGGAATGATTTGGTTCGTTTTTTTTCTCCACCAAGAAAAATATAAGAGCAATGCCTCCAGTTTTACTGATGCTAAATAAGTGCCCACAGTGAGTAGGTACACACAAGAGTGCAGAGGTAAGAACAAATGATTAAAGACTGGGCAATGAGTCACCGCAGGGAGAGCTAGAATACTCACTTTTGGGGAAAAGTGCCAACAGTAAGCTACAGCAATCATAGTTGATGAAGGGCTCTCATCTGGAGGACAGTGGCCAACCTGTTCTCCATTCCCTCTGAGGACCTGACCAAAGGAATTGTCATAAATTTCAGCAGAAAATGTTTAAAATGAGACATAAATAATTCTTGACAGCGAGAATTGTTAAGCTTCTGAGAAAAAAAATGTAGTCTTTTTCTTTAGAGTTCTTTAAAAGCAACCATTTGACATAAACAGGTTAGGTGGGTTTCCTGACTCATAGTTTGAAGTGATCTCTACCCATGATCTGTGTTAGAATAACTACCATATCTCCAAAGTAGTGAACAGTAGTCTTTAGTAAGAATAGTAAATTCAGAACAGATTTTGTGCTTTCACCCTGGTTGTTACAACTTTCTGGCCACTCTCACTGCTTCTCATATAACCACTCTCAGAAACAGGCATGTAAGCCATTTAGGTGATGAACAAACTAATATATGAGGGGCCATATAACACCAAAGAAAGAGGGTCAATAACAAATCTATTAATACCTTGTTACTGGGCCAATTAGTATAACCACATTGTGAATTCTTGATTTCTGAAATCCAGTGTAGCTAGACATTCTAGGACATGGAAACAAAGCTATTGCATATATGAAATATACAAGAAGAATCCTATCTAATAAAAGAGAAACATGCAAATTGACCATAACCCCGACACCCTTCCCATTGGCTAATCGGCAGGATATATGCAAATTAACTGCCAACCAAGATGGCGGCCGGCAGCCAGGCAGCTGAAGTGAATAGGAGGCTTGCTTGCTCCAGTGACGGAGGAAGCCAAGGTTCCCTGCCTGCCGCTGCCAGCCTCTGAGCTGCAACTCTAAGAAACATTGTTGCAAATATAGAAGCTAAACATTCCCCAGAAACCTGCTTTCAGCCAGCCGGGCTTCAGCCAGCAGGATTGCAACAGTGTTACAATTATAGAACAAATGCAGATACCTGCTTTCAGCAGCTGAGGCCTCAGAGCTGCAGCTGGGTCTCACAGATAAAGCCGGCTCTCAGCTCCAGTGACAGCCATAGA